TAGTTAAAATGTATTTTTTTTACTACTACTACTAGGTACTACTAGTACTACTACTACTACTATAGGTTGTACTACTGCTACTGCCACTACGACTACTACTACTAATAGTACTACTACTACTACTACTACTACTACTACTACTACTACTACTACTACTACTACTACTACTACTACTACTACTACTACTACTACTACTACTACTACTACTACTACTACCAGTAGTAGCTCCAGCATTATGTACCCCTGACATCGACTGTACTGTATATCATATTATATCGTGGATTGATTTTTTATTTAACTTCCTTTTTTTTTCTGGAGATAAAAAGAAACTTAAGTCTTTGAGTGCCACTTCCGGCCATCTAAAAGTGCCATAATCATAAATTTTCTAACCTCAGCCCCCAAAATGGTGGGGCTGAAGTGGATATAGAACCTCAATCTGTAAAAGCTTCTCCATGTCCCCTTCTATTTCATATTCTTTGATCCACCACTGATGTAATCATTTTTCGTCGTTAAAACCATTTAGAATACAATATAAAAAACATGATCAAAACACAAGCATATCTAAAAATGCAATTGGCGACCAAGACAGGGCCCCACAATCTTAGAGGCCAAAGGGCCCCGGCCCCAGCGTTATGCCATTGTTGATGTTATTGTGATGGAAAAGCTTCAAAGACACACTTTTCCTTCTCTTTCAACCTATGTGTTACGCTACTGACTCTTAAATAAACTGGATAATGGTAAAATGGAATTTGGAAAACATGGGCGAAAACACTTTGCAGCATTAACACACAAATTTCGGCTGTTTTTTACAGAAAGAAAAAAATGCAATGGAAACATCTCTATAACCAAGTTATTTACTGTGCATCGAAGCTTCGGCATTCTGCGCTATAGAAGTCTGTCTAACATTATTAACATTAGTAGGCCCTACTGTATTTATTTAAATAAATAAACCAACTTCCAAATTGTTGCAGTTTAAGTAACAGAAAGTGGACAGTGGAACCATCTCTATACACCTAATTCAAACGCACATTCAAGCTCCGGCACTATCGTGTTAATGCTAAATTATTAATATATTTATTTCAACAATGTCATTCAATGTATGTAATGTAGTACAGTAATATAGTAACAATAGAACAATGGAACTAACTTAAGCATGAAAAAATGGACTATGGAACCATTTACACACCAACTTGTTAGCATTTTAAGTATTTCCCGTAGCATTAAACACGTGTATTGCAGCAGTTTAGTAACGACTTAGTAGGCCCTACTGTATTTATTTCAATAAATAAACCAACTTCCAAATTGTTGCAGTTTAAGTAACAGAAAGTGGACAGTGGAACCATCTCTATACACCTAATTAAGGCTAAATTATTAATATATTTATTTCAACAATGTCATCCAATGTATGTAATGGACTATGGAACCATTTACACACCAACTTGTTAGCATTTTAAGTATTTCCCGCGGCATTAAACACGTGTATTGCAGCAGTTTAGTAACAACTTAGTAGGCCCCCTACTGTATTTATTTCAATAAATAAACCAACTTCCAAATTGTTGCAGTTTAAGTAACAGACTTAGTATTTATTATAAGCACTTCCAAATTGTACTAATTTGGTATGAGAACATGAGCAGTGGATAATTATGCACCAATTCTTGGTAGAATTAAGCAATTCCCCAATGCAACAGTAAAGTATGAGGAAGTGGAAACAGGAAAACACAGAGGTCCCAGGTTGGTGAAGTTAAAAATTTCTGGGTAATTTTTGTTGAAGTGAAATTTTTTTGAGTACTTTTTTTGGTTTAACTATACGATGACATGTTACTTCAACGTGTGTTATGCCACTACCAAAAGCCATTAATAATACAAACAGTATTTTGCTTGCTAACAACTGGAAAAGTAAGACATTTTCAGGTTTATTAACTTAAGTGCTTATGCAAAGGCATGGAGCTTAAATTGTCAGTAACTTAATGTTTGAAAGAGAAAAACGCTGTTTAGTTTTTGAAAATATACACTTAGGAGCCATCCAATGACAATTCTATATTTTCTGGGAAAAAAAACTGTAAAAATTCTGGGAAGCGGGGATCCTCCTTAAATATCTGGAAAACCTGCAAATTTCTGGAATCTTCGGAGGTCTGGAAAACCATCTATACACCGACTTCCCTTGATAGCATAGTGCTTGCCAATCACACAAAAAACAGTAAGTCTATGCACAAATGTATTTGATAGCAGCATTCACTGTCTAGTCTAGTGGCTGTCTCTTATACACATCTAGATGTGTATAAGAGACAGGTAGTGTAATAAGCATACATGTAACAGCAAGTCTACTTGAGTTCGCTCCTTCGCAATTTTGAAGTATTCCTACTTTTCCTCCTGGCTATGAAACAGCCTCTTTGAATTATCTAATATAAAACTGTATTTTATACGGGATGGCTATATGTTTATATACATTTTAACGAGTTACATTTTATAATATAATATATATTCGACAGTAAACTGTATTAGGCTCAGGATACTGTAAACATCTTTCTTAAGTCAAGATTACATAGATTGAATAGATTGCATAGTCGTATGTTCTTTAGGCCTCGCGATATAAATATAGCAGCGACTGACACTTGTGTTCCGATGCACTTGATCCAAGAGACGATGTACCGTACAGTAATCACGCGTTGCCAGGAGCAATACCATATTTTGCGTTGACAAAATACCATGTTCTTAAATGGCGTAAATAAGAGTTAACAGCGGCCATCACATTCTTACGTACTGTAGATGAAAGCAAGAACTCATTGTTGAATTTCATATTTTTCATGATTTCTATTTATATTTAGTTACTCACCAACGCCTGTTCAGAATCTGGACGATGATATTATTATAAACAAAATCTTAAGCCTATTTATCTGTCTACCAATTATTATTTTCTTATTGTTACGCTCTCTCTGTGGAACGCAAGCACGTAGAAATCAGCTAATAGATAAATTGATTACCATTGATAACATATTGGCTAGAAGTTCAGTTGAAGATATCTGTAGCAATTGTCGATTTATAATAATTTATTATTTAATTATGTCGTTACTACATGGCACGTGCTAACGCACCAAGATGTGTATAAGAGACAGGTACAATATAAACTAATTCCTCCATGGTCTTACAATGTATTTATCTACAACTTGGCTGCTTCACTAGCGTACCGTTCATATCTGCTCTTGGTGCTGGTTTTGACAATCTTTGCAGAGTTTTTTTTCTAATGTTCCCACCAAAAATAACAAGCCTATATTTACTTCTATTTATACGTAAGCGCTGAATTATTCGAATATAAAACAAATAATAATAATAATAATAATAATAATAATAATAATAATAAATAATAATAATAATAATAATAATAATAATAATAATAATAATAATAATAATAATAATAATAATAATAATAATAATAAATAAATATATGTACTGACTTATTTAAAAGTGCTTATTAATTTTAATTTCCAGTGTAACAAAAGATGTAAAAATTGGTCAATAACAGTTTGTAATTTAAAAATATTTCTACAGATGATTACTTAATTTAACAACTCCTCAAGGAGAAGATCCAGCACCAAGATTATTGAGAGTGAACTAATGTTGCAGCATAAACAATTGATTTAAAATGGAAAATGAATTAGAAAAGAAAACTTAAGTTGTGAAGGCATTAATTTTTCATGAAATCCAATTTATGTAGGAATTAACTTCAATTTGTGAAGCAAACAACATAAAATAACTGAGCCATTCTTTACTTTAACTGTACTTATTAGAACACTATTCCTTTCACTGTGGTATTATTTCATTTAATTAGGCCCTATATAACTCACAGGTTACATTACCACCAGCTAAATTTACACAAGACAGGGGACTTAACTGCTTTAATCATACAAGACACAGCTAACATTTCATTAAATACATGAATATTCATGCCTTCATATATCCAATGAATACATATGTATCCATGGATGTAATGAATACATGAATATTCATGTCAGTGCCCAATCATTGTCACAATAATTTGTTTATTCTCATAAATTATTTAATTCCTACTTTGGTAACGATTACTTCAATTTTTAATCTAATAACAACTAGTTGATCTTTATTGCAACATCTCTTTACAGAGAGAGAAATAGGGAAACTATTTTTAAACATGGTTTTCATGAATTATTTTTTAAAACAATGATGTATAAGAAAAAAACAGAACTTCTTTTGAAATATTTAGTCCTTACATTGACACAGAAAGTATTTAGGTCAAAGTTATTGCATGTCTGGAAGGTTTTCAGGCAGAATGTATGAGATGTCATCCCATGGGTGTCTGTAGAGACCCTGCTTCAGACGTTTCTGATCCAGATAGTGGCCTAGAAAGAAAAGGGAACATAACTATGTTACTACATGTTCTACATTTAGAGTTCAATTTAAATGATCATTAAACCAAAAATACGTGTATCCCTGCCGTGCTGATGTTAAAACATGAAAATAATTATCAATAGACAGTGCTAACTTCAAAAACAGATGTATCAACAGTAATTCATGCCAAAACAACAACATATTTAAGAGGTTTTTTTGTCTGCTTTTTTAATTATTAATTATAATCTTTATACATTGTGATTTCATTTATTATTTTTTTTATATTCTAAATTGTTTATTGACATTTTTTTCTTTGCAACACTTTTATTTGTATTTATATATTATAAAAATACTGTAACACATACAAATAAAAATGCAAGGTTGTGTATAAATCTAAAAATAGTATATAAATAAAGCAATAATAATGAAAATAATTATTATATTAGAAACTTCCCTTTTATTTTTATACACAGGAAGTGGAAATATTATAATTATTTTGACTTTTGTTTTGAAACCAATAAAAATATCTTTGATAACAATAGCATTACAGTTCCACTTTTAAAATATTTTTACCAAAGTTTCTACACAGCTATTGATAGTTGTTTTTATAGATCATTCTCCACTTTTGATTAGAGCAGCAAAAATACTGAAATTTACTGTAGCTGTGTTTAAACATTCAATTCTCAGAAAAATTTGCAATCCGTCACTGACAATTCTAGTTGCACAGAAATAGCTATGAAAATGTTCAAAAAACATCCCCGAACCACAAGTGGTTTTGACTGCTTCATCCCCACCAGACTTCAAAGTCCTGTCAGACTATCAAATTAGTCATGATGTGCCTATATATGGTATATTTAGGCATGTCACATGCTTTTGTCAAAATTTTATAGTCTGGATGGAGCTTTATACAGCTTCTAGCAAGTTTTTAACTGACAATTATATTTTGTAAAAAACAAAATATTTAGAAAAAAAACCCCTCTTTATCAGAAGTGCCACTGAATTACTGCAATATCTAAACAACTGTTATTTGACAATCATGAATTGTTAGCCAAGATATTGCTCTGCTTTTGATTACAGTAGTAATGTATTTAATTTAGTTTTGCTATCTCATTCAGTTGTAAGAAAAGTTGAGCAGGTCACTGATCTCAGGTGCACAAAATCAAAGACTTTATTAGATTAAACTGAAAATGAAAATGTTGAAATAGAAATCAATGACATGCCCAAGACTAAACTATAGACTTCAGAACCAACATGATCATGTGTATAGGTTTTGAGTTTTCTTCTTTACTAAACTTAGTGAAACATGCATTACATCTAAACAACTAATAATACATCAAGTCATAACCTTGGCTGTTGTGCCATATCTATGTACTGAAAAAAAACATGAGATCATCTCAGGGCCCCTACTTTTGCACGACTTCACTGCACAAAAAGCTCTACAACAGAGGTGGGCATAAAAATCGGTCGGAAGGCCAAAATGAATTTTTTATTTAACACAGAGGGCCACACGCAAATTTTGATGTTTCCAGTGAGCTTCCATAAACCTCTAAGCTCTGCTTTTACACCATTTTATTCTCAAATTTAATGTTACTTTTTACATATAATTGGTGTCGGGCTGTAAAAAACACAGTGTTTTCCAGCCAATTTTGCTTTGCGGGCCGCACATATAGGATTCTTAATTTTCATGGGCCGCAAAAAAGTGACTATCAGGCCACACTTTGCCAACCTGTGCTCTACAAGGCGACATTTTTGTCGATTTTGAAATAATATCATTTGGTAGTATATTAAACACATGTGAATTACCTGTGAAACATTCAGGTCTCAATAATGAGTCGTTTCAGAGATAGCACCACCTATCTTTAAGCACAAAACTTAAAATCTAGTGGTTTTCCGTGGCAAAACAACGTAACTACAAGATTACGGGGCAAAACAACGTATCTAAAAGGAAGATACGTTGTTTTGCCTCGGAATGGTATTAAAAAATTGTCTTGAGCTAATGGAGTTTGGCAAGGCAAAATCAAATGGATATTAAATCCCATACTCCTTCCAAGTACAAACAAACCATTGAGGGCGCCAATTTCTACATATTCATTTGCTTCTTCACTATGAAAGTAAAAAGTTATACAATTATTTTTTTATAAATCTTTTCAATTTTTTGGAATAGAGTCTATGAAACCTAAGTTCTTGTTTTTCAAAATGCTTCATCTATATTTACCTGCTTTTAAGAGTATTGAATAATATATTATTTCATTTAGAAATATTTCTATTAGAAATACTTACGGAGTAAACGCCCCACAGTTGCGAAGAAGGTCTACAAAGGCGACACCAATGAATCCATCAACATTCAAGATCAAATTAGGTTTCTGAAGAAGATAAGGTAACAAGAACAAATATTAATCTCAATAATTGTCATTTATCACTTAAGTTACTGTAAAATTGTGATAAACCAACTCAGCTCACCAACTGTAGCTCAAAATGTATTTTATGTAATACAAGTTAATGCAAAGTGGTGATAAACTATGTGTTCATTATGCATTATTAAACTGTCCTCCAACGGTGCATTAGGCTGTTGGTTCTGTGAAAATCACTGAGCATGATCAATCATCAGAAGACTGTAGGGGATTTTCTGTCTGTGTACTGACCAATTCCATTATGTATGTGTATACGTAAATACAGGGGGTTTCTATGGTTTAGCAGTGCCCCCTTTTCAAGTGTATTACAATAAGCCAAATACCCCTCTTTCCCTTACATTAAGAACTTTTAACCATTTACATGCTAGAAACTTCTAATGGACTTAGTCATCCTGAATCAAAAGCTTAGCCAGCCAGCCGTTCAGCCGTCTTTTGGATGGCCAACAATTATTTAGGACGGCCACTTTTACTGTGACAGCTTGGATGGCTTGGCTTGGCCTAATCAGCTCTGCCTAGCCTAATTGAGCCTGGTCTACCTTTAGAAAATTCTTTATATTCTTCAAATCTATCGAACGTTACATTAAACTAAAGCTAAATCATATTTACGTTTTATAAAAACAACCTTTATTGATTGAATCTACATTGTTTTCATACCAATTTTCGGTGGGAGTTTTAACCATTGCCCCCACAGTGAATAGTTAATAATAAAATAATAATAGTTCATTCTTATATAGCACATATGAGCAAGCTCTCAATACGCTGAACATATTACTACCCATTGGATCAAACAGGTATGGAGCACATACTCAGCAACAACATGCATCGTATTAAAAACATTTATACCCCGCTGGAAAATTAATGGTTCTGAGTCACCCACAACGCATGCATGTAGCCCTGCAAATACAATACTTGAGTTTCAGTTCCCCGACATAATACTGTTGGTGTTTATAACCCTCTGGTTATAATTGATTCATGAAATACCGTAAAGAAGAACGTCTCAAGTTAAATTTTATTGATCAACAAAAATACAGTAGGTTTAGGCCTATCTCTTGATTCGGAGGAACTAGAGTAGAATTTACCTAGACTAAGGCGAGATATGAAGATGCATCTGCATAGCCTAGACACATTATGTGCGTGACTAACCGTAGCTGTGAGCAATCTATGTCTATAAACTGTAATATCTTTGTGATAGTTAATTCCACACTATTCCTTTAAAGACAAAATTCCAGCATTTAAACACCTAAATGCCCTCTAAAGATCATAATTTTCTATTATTTTTCTTATGTTTGGGAGGGGGCATGGTCCCGAGTAGACGTGGCCCTGAGCAAACTGGCTTCCATTTTGGATGGCCTATTTCGTTTTTCTGGCTAAACACCTGCTTCTTTTCGAGATGGGCTACTTTTCGAGATGGGCTTCTTTTCGAGATTACTTTTGCGAAGTAAAGAGGGGCTTCTTTTCAAAATGAATGCTGTAAATTTTGTGAATTTAACAATAAATAAGGTCAATGTAACATCAATCTGTATTATGGAGTGTATTTAACCCTCATTAAATCACCTAAACTAAACTTATTTTTAATTTATTTTGTTTTCTAAAATTCATGCACAGTGTATGTACTGTACTATCTCGAAAAGAAGCCTATGTTATCTTGAAAAGAAGCCCATGGGCTTCTTTTCAAAATGGGTTTCTTTTCGAGACTAATTTTGCAAGCTAAAGAGGAGGCTTAAATTCGAGATGGGCTTCATCTCAAGATTAAGCCCACTGGGCTTCAATACAAGGTTTTACGGTATAATAATTTGATATGAATATTTATCCCAGTGAATGTTCCATCATTCAGTATGGATTAACTCAGCTTAAGTCATTGTAAAATTGTGAAAGAACAAGCAATTTCAATGTTTTTTTTGCGCAAGTTATTACTAACATCTTTTTTTCTTAATAAAATATTAATGAAGTAATTTCATAAAAAAGAAACTGAAAGAGTGTCAGTGAAAGAAGTTAAAAATACAATTTTGCAATTTATAGCAGTTTTCGATTTATAATGCACTCTTTTAAGAAATAGAAAACACAAGTGAAAGTGCATGAAAACATTTTTTTTTTAAATCCTAGGAATTAGGGAATGAAATTATCTTTCATTCAAAACTTCCATTTTATTACACTGGTAATTACTTTCACAATAACCTACTCGAATCTACACCTGATGAACAGCATAGACTGTTGGCAAAAACTTGTGTGAATACATACTATAGTGAGACAATAAAGTGCTGTCAATGCTTCATTTACATATTTGTAATTGGTAGTATACTATAATTAGTAAGGTGAAAAATTTTAATATTTAAAATTTAAATTACTAAAACATAATGTGTGTCTAATTATGAGGGCTGTGAAGATGATAATGTAATGATGATGTCATTAAGATGGAAATGATGAGGTAGATGACAAATTTAATGATTCATTCTGTTTTCACCTTTGCAGTTGTAATCTTCTCCACCTGTAAGGCGTAGTCCAACAATGGTGTGACTGGGAAATTCTTCTGAGCAAAATCTTTAAGTAGAACGACTCGCATGTCAGGGTTGTTGATCTAGCAGACAAAAAATTTGAAGATATACAATATCAGAATGAAAAGAAAATTTGTATTTATACTAAAATAGCAGAAACATAATGTATTTCATAATACTAAATTATGTAGTGTAAATTAGTTGTATTTATAGTGGCAATCAATGGATCATCATCAGTGAATAGAATAATGGAAACAGTGTAGCTTATATACTGTCTCTTATACACATCTAGATGTGTATAAGAGACAGCTTATATATATGCCTTAACCTTTAAAACACATGTACAGTTGAATATACAAGAGGGAAAATTTTATATAATATAATTTTCATTTAAGTATAATGACAATAACCAAAGTCAATGAGAAACTGAAGCCAACGGGGTTAATTTCTTCATAACTGTCACTTTCAAAATGATTTTCAATAATAATTTGTGCATGCAATATGGAACCACATGAAATCCTTGAGATGGATATTTTATTATGTAATTCAAGTTTCAATGAGATATTATTTTAGCTATACTATTCGATACAATGAGTAATAGAAACAGGAAAGCCTTTAGTGGAGAAGTGTGTGTGTGTTTTGACACACAAGCTTACATAATTATACAATGTAACATTATTATTGTTGGTGAAAGTTTAAAGTTTTAAGATAGAGAAAGTAAAATTGCTTAATTGTGTATGTAAATACACAAGTTAAGGTATGCACCACAAACTGTAAACATAAATATTGCAACTTAAGCTAGAGCCAGTAAAACAGAAGCCTTCGACAATGAAGTTTGCTTCTAAATGGAAGAAGACGATGATAATGCAGTTCACCTAGAGAGGTAAACTGCACTGTGTGTATTAAAGGTTAATGTATATCTCAATAAATTGTGAACACTATATTCTCTAATTGATGATTTGTTCTATTACCATTTTAAATTCAAATTTATAAAAACCATATAAAATGAATGCAAAAATAAATGCAATGTTTTTGCAATAAAATACAATGATAAATTAAATCATGGAGGTATATACCTCCATGATTAAATAAGATATGATTACTGTATAGGCCTTTAATATTTCGTATGTAAACTGTGTTTTTCTTTGTATTTTTATGTATATATACTTTTGTTTATCCTTGTGTATTTTGTCCTATATTTTTCTTATAATTGCCCCATGTGGAACGAATAAAGATTATTGATTGATATATTTAAGGAAAAAAACCTGAATTACCTGTGATTAACAATATGAAACATCAGAAAAATACAGTATAATTCTGTATCTTTTAAAGATTTCTTTGACAATGGCAATGTGTCAAATGCGTAAAATGTGTAATGCTATATAAAACTCTATGTAGGTTTCACAAGAAATAATTCCTGAGATTTACTTAATTTGAATCTAGAACTTTGATTACGTACAAGCACATTAGTCACTAAGTCATAGCTTCATTCTTTCTTTAAATATATTTCTATATATAAATTCTACAGCTTTTACACTTCAAATTTCAAATGTAATTAACAATTTTTTTCTGCAGATTATTCTTCTCAACTAAAGTCTGGTTTCCATAAAATTGCTACACTGTTGCTACAGTGCAACCATTGTACTGTGTAGCAGTGCCTGACGCTTTCAAGGAGGCTCTTTAATTCGACCTACTAATTGGCATCACCGAAAGATGTTGGTGATAGCATGTAGCAATTGTATGGAAACCATGCTTTAGTGTTCTTCCTATGGGAAAAGCTATGTTCTAATCTTCACAGCTCTTTAGAAGTTTTGTTATATCAAATATACTTTAATGTAAACCTACTCACAATTAAATTAAATTGCTTAGACTTGACAATAAATGCAGAAAGAACAAATATTTTATTGGGCAAAATTGCAAAATAATATAAACTTACCGACTTCACCCTGTGTCCAATGCCCATTATAAGCTTATGCTGTTTGCGCATCTCATTAACAAACTCGTTGGGGATGAGGTTAGAATCATAAGCCTCACTAAATTGTTTTGCTGCCATGTCCAGTGCTCCACCAAATCTCTCTCCCTAAAATAAAAAAATAACCAACAAAATATTAACATACAATAAAACTTATATGAATGTAACTAAAACAAATTAGCAATTTCCTTAATGATCCCATTCTGTTCACTAATCCGTGGATAGTGCATGGCATATTTGAGATCTATCACTCTGATGAAAGCCTACAATTCCACATTCAAGATTAATATTTTTGTAACAATGTCCCTTTAAGGGCCTCGTAAAAAGTGAATTGTTTTTAAGTGCATCCTACAATGGTAAATGGTCAATGGTCGTATATTTATATAGTGCCTTCAACAGAAAACCGTCTCAAGGCGCTTTTGAAGCCACAAGAAACAAAGACAAAAGAACGCGAAGGGGGAAGGGGGAGTGCGCACCCCGATTTTGAGATAGCGTCGCCATCGCTACCATGTACACGCAGGTACCTCGGTGTCAGTTTGCTGGGCTCTGGTAGCTCCACCAAGGATAAGCCTATGGCTCCCCTACCGTGCACTGCTAAGTTGGCGGCGCTACCTCAAGTAAGGAGGTGCGACTTTCCAGGGGAAAAAAACTTGACTTCAAAACAACTTAACTACAGAAATTTAACTACAGAGATTAACAAATTAATGAGAATTATTAACCATGAGAAAGTTAATAAAGATTGAAGAGATCAGCCTTCAAATTCTTTTTAAATACAAGGAGTGAAGGTGTCTCCTTCAGTGGTTGATCTCAGAGACTCAGTTGCAGAACGGGACTTCAATAGTTGAACAATGATTTTAATCCATTGAAATGACTAATTAATTGTTTTAAATTGTTTTAATTGGGCAATGTTTGCAATATGATCATAAAGTACTTACAATTGTGAGGAGACCTGAGCAGAGTGACGATACCAAGTCTTTTCCTGCTCTGGCTGTGATAATGGTATTGTGAGCTCCAGACACTGCAGGGCCATGATCAGCTGTTACCATCAGACACATCTCTATGAACTTAGTGGCATATGTCGGCAGTCTGCAAAAGGAAAAGAAAAAAAATTTTAAATATTATATTACAGTATACAAAAATCGGGGTTTTCCATGAAATCGCTACACTATGCAGTTGCTCCTGACACATTTGGGAAGAATCCCTGCTTCTTCCCCAATAATTCTGCTAACATGAACCAGTTTTACCCTAGGATGGATGAGCTTCTCAGAGTCAATGGCAAACCATGCTAGGTTTAAGGAGTAGGATTAGCCTGTCTTTGGGCTAGATTAAGTATTATTTTCTTGGTCCTTTTTTTCATGTTTATGTAATCTGGAGGTCTTGGGTTCGATTCCCACCTGACTCACTTACAAGATTTTTTTACTTAAGTACGTACTGAGCATCCAGTACAATAACATGTCACGTAGGGCAAAACCTCATTCCTATTAAATCTCCTGATGAAACACCATTTGGAATATTAAACATTATAGATATAGCACTAGCATTTGATTACCTGCGTTGGAACCAGAGTAGACTTAGTACGCCTCCAATGCCCATCTCTTCCTTCATAATCTGTGTGATTGGCATACCGGCGTAGATCAACTCCTGACCACGTTCATCCACGATACTCGTCATGAATGATGCAGGTTTGCGAATCAAGCCAAGTTCCTGAACATATATAAAAGAGACTAAATTTAATGTGTGCTATGAAGACAGGATTACTCAAGCCACCTCTGACCCCTATTTCTACTGAACAATGTTATTAATTAGGTATAATTGAGGGCTTTAATAATAACAAAAATAACAATAATGATAAAATTGTAACAAACAAGAGATTCACAAATAAAAGTAGTAATATTAATAGAATAGAGAATTATAAAGCCCTTCTGACTAAGGTACTGAAATTCAGAAAAATTAATTATTAGTACTACATAATAAGATTTAGATATTTATATAACACATATTGCACGATTTACACCAAAATATAAAACGGAGAGAGTATTGTTAACTGTTGAATTACTTTTAAAATTGATGGATAAAATTAATAATAGAACAAGATGTGTTCAACCAGATGTAAATGTGTTAGCAAAAAGAAAATTAGATCATAAGAAAGCTTAAAGTAAAAATGGTATTACAGACAGAGAGCAGCATGAATATGTATCATTATTTCTGTTCTAAAGCATATCTAAAGATTCTTTAAAAACTTTTGCAACATACCCTTGCCCAGGAATAGTCCATTGGGACAGTAGGAGGTGGAACTTCTTCACTTGGAACAATCACCTTATCCTCTACAAGTTTCTTGTACACTTCCCTAGAATAAAAAGGTATTAAAAATAAATATTCAAATAAAATATCCATTTTAACATAAAGTTAATTTTAAACACAAAATAAAAATTCAAGGCTGGGATTCAAGAGAATTACATAAATTTATGATTAAATATACAAGAGAAAGTATTGCCGAGCCACATTTTTCACAGGGCTAGAGCTTATCTCCAGTTCAGTTTAAAACACAAAGCATACATATATTTAGAAATTATTACCATTATTCTACAACAATTACACCTTTAACCTTTATTGGTGGTCCAGAGTAGGAATGAGATTCTTAACTGGTCAAACTCAATTATTACCCAAGATAGGAACACCCTAAAAAATATAATAGAAGAGCCAGCTCCAAACCACCATGCATATCCTCATGCCAAGAGCCAACTATTCTGAGATTCTTAATAAATTGATTACACACAGCACACAGATTTCACATTACCCAATCTTTTCTCCAAGATCATCAAAGCTTCTTGGTACATAAGCCCCAGCCTCTTCAAGTGCTTTGTTCTTGGCTCGTGCAGTCTCAGCTTCTCCGTTAGCACACGCACCTGCATGGCCAAACTGAACTTCAGAAGTAAACATACTAGCACATGTTCCAATGCACCATGCTACAATTGGCTTGGTGAGTCGTTTATCACGGATAGCAGAACACACTTGGTACTCCTCAATACCTCCAACCTAACAAACAGTATGGAACCACCAGTTAATATGCATAATTACTTTATGATGATGACGACGATAATGATGGTTGTGATGATGATTATATAACGCTTAGGTAATGATGATATGGATGTTGATGAAGATGATGATGACTACGACCTTCTGACTAAGATGAAGATCATAATGATGATGATGACGATGATGAGGATGTTGACGGCAATGATGATGATGATAATGATTGTGATAGTGAGGATAGTGGTGATGATTGTTTTGATTATGATGACAATGATGAGGATTATGATGTTGCAGATACTGATTAAAATCATTATACATATATGATGTTTACTTTTTATTCAAATGCTAAAATATTCCAAATAAATCACATTTTCACTAGCTGTATTTATAATTTTAACTAAATGTGTTTTTGCAATTTTAATCATCTAACAGCAGTGAATAAATTTACCTCTCCAAGCATAACAAGCATCTTGACATTTGGGTCATTGTGGTATCGCATGATGTGATCCATGAAGGTTGAACCTGGGTAGCGGTCACCCCCAATGGCAACACCCTCAAATACACCGTTGGTATGACGGGATACAATGTTATTAAGTTCGTTGGACATGCCTCCTGAGCGGGACACATATGCTACGCTTCCAGGGCGATAGAGCTTTGATGAAAGAATATTATCCAGCATTCCCCCTGTGTTGCCAATTTTGAAACAACCTGGCTTAATGCCTCCCACCTGTAAATGTAAACAAATGATGATTAATAATCAATGATTGGAATTTATGTATTCTAGATAAGGAGTTTAACTTAGGTTCTGGATCCCTTTTTGCACATACTAGAAATTTGTAGTGACATATAAATGTGTACATAGAATATCAACATAAATATAAGATTAAATCCAATTCAAAGTGTATTCTGTACATCATCATAATTATCATCATCATAATCATCATCATCCTTTAAATGCTATCAAAATTCTGGACACAGTTTTAAGCCATTGATCTCTATTAGCAAGGGCTGCACTAAGTTCTTCTAATGTCAGAACAATACCTCTGCATAGGGTATTGAGATATGTAAAGCCTTGTCCAGCCCATCATTATCATATTTTATTTGACAAAAACATGTGACATGCCTAAATATGGTAACGATGACATCACATCATGACCATATATAGCCACATCATGACTATATATGGGCATACAACAGTTTTTTCAAAGAAAATTTGATATTGTGGACAAAAAGCCTTAGTCTACTTTTGCCATTTAAACACGGAATTCTTCATAGTACTTGAGTACCGTATATACTCGCATATAAGGCGACCCGCATATTAGACGACCCGAGTTTGAAAAGGTTTTTGAACGATTTTTGTATTTTAGGCATATAAGACGACCCCCGTTTCATCCTGAGAATTCATACTTTTTGCTGCTATTTATGGTCTTCATACTGCATGTAGCTGGCTACAAACGGAGCCAAATGTAGGGCTAATTTTCAAAATAATACCATTTGTTGGGCTTTTAAATGCTAATCAATATCTTACTTCCCAGTATAATTGCGTTCATTCATACTAACATTTAGTAGGTTCATTGCACATGCCGAACGATCCACACATAAGATGTACATGATTTCAAAAATCTTATATTTGTAGTATAAATATTGTATGTCGCACGTATGATGACCCCCTGTTTTTCGACCGTAATTTGCTATTTTAAGCCTTGTCTTATATATAGTATGTCTGATATTGTCTGGTCTTTGTAGCTCTAAAGAGTGCCCCACTGACTGGGCCTTTCTCTCTGCTATTACTATAGGGATAGATTGGATGTCTGTATATTTGGGCATTGATGGCGTACATAGGCTGAATTTCAGTCAACAGTCATTACATCAAAATGATGAAACATCCTAAGTAAAAATTAACCATTGGTAATCATTAGAATAACAATACTTACAGTGGCAGGACCAATAATTGTTACACCTTGATTATTTGCAAGTGTGATAAGGTGACGTGTCATATTCTCGGGAATACCTTCAGCGATAATCGCAATTGTTCGTATCTGAAACAAAAAAAATGAGATTTAAGTATTCTAGAATATTCTTAATGCTAATCCTCATCAGCACTAGTATTCCGCCAAATGCAGGTTATATGTAAGGAACATGCTTTTCTTACTAGTGGTGTCAGCATAAGTGAAGGGAGGAAAATTCTCCCTCTTTTTGTTGAAACTATATAAGATCATCGGACTACAAATATTAATTTGTTGATCTATCCATAGTAATATTTCAATTGCTCTTCTTATTAATGTGGTCTAAAAAGCACAAATTTTACTATCTTAAACCACAAAATTTCCCCCCCCCCCCCCCCCCCCCCCCCCCCCCCCCCNNATCGACCTCCGCTAGTGATTTTATTCGGAGACCCTGATCTAAGAAGCAGTAAATTTGTTAATAGTCACAACAACATACCTGCTTATATTTAAGAGTTTCAAGGGTACTTTCATAGGCAGACCTCAGTGAGGCAAAACTGATGAGTACATCAGCCTCTGGATGGGTTTTCATGGCTTTCTCCATGGACTTATACACCGGAATCAAGATCTCCTTGTGCCCCCAGTAGAACTTCTGTTTGTGGTCACCACTACATAATAATTAAATAAATATGATGTTTAAAGAAACTAACATTAAAACAATGATGGTACACATTGATATAAAGGGTATACCTCATTCTACCATGTTGCCCATTATTATTTATAAAACTTACGTAAATGGATAGATCATTCCAACAACAGAGGGCGCTCGTCGGCGACATGAGTGGTCAAAGTCCAGCATACCCTGTACAGCTCTTGGTTGAAGTCCCCAGATTAAAGACTAATGAAAAAAAAAATGAATTTCATTAGTCAATTCTTCTAAACAGACATGACACATAAGGTTTTTGTTTAAAAATTATACCATGCAAATAAAATTAAATTTTTAATAAAATTAAACTAATTTAATCATTTTAAAGGATCAAATGGTCAGTTGTTAGGATTGACCAACACTCCAAAAAGGTCCAATACCCACCACTTTATAGTAATGACAGAAATCATAGCATCAAAAAACGTGTACTTACATAGGTCTCATTACTGAATAGAGGCTTGGAGGACTTTGAATCGCTGGCCTGGGCAGTAGAAGGTGCATCAGTGGTGGTGGAACTTGTATCTTTACATGCAACACTGCTTTCTGCCTTGCTGGCTGCAGGCGTAGCTGAATCTTGGGATTTCTAAAAAGCAAATAAGCAGAGCTGTTTAAAGGTGTTCGTACAAATTCTGGGTTTTGACAGGATTAGAACACAGGACCCTGTGGTTAAAAGTTAAGCACTATAATCACCATGCAACAACTTCCAATACCTTCTTGATGATGAAAATAACAAAAACATATAATTTGCCTATTAAAAAAAAACTGATCTACGGCTCAGTGCATGTTTAAAATGTTGTGTCATATTTCTGAATTTAACATATTTTGTATAGCCTATCGGATCAACCAACACAAATTTCATTGTGTCTACTGCCCCCAATGGGGGCGTAGACACTATGTCATGATGTAGCAATTAAAGATGGCGGAAAAGGTTAAATCCGGTTTAGGCATGATGGGTACTACTACCACGAGGTAGGGGTGCTCTATTGACAATCGAATAGCATTTGGAACTCAAACAAAATTGGGTTCGAAACTCGAACACGCATTATAGAGACGCAGCACGTGTTTGCCACTAACGCCTTTTACCGCCATTTGAAGGTCGCCCTCTAGAACATGGTAGTACTCTTCGTGATCAACGACATAACGTGGTAACTCCAAGAGTTACTCATTTTTAAAGTGTTTTTAGTGCAATATAGTAGTAGGCGTATACAGAATATTGTGATGAAAGAAACTTTTCATGAAAAATCCAGATACACTACAATAATACACACATCTGAATATTGAAGAACATAAGATAAAATTTAAAAAACAAAAACTCCTGTATAAGGCAGTAGACACACGCTCCCGCTGGGAGCCTATTTTTTTTTACCATGTTGTTGAAATGACAATAAAGGAGTATCGTATTGTATCGTATATATCAAAACTGGCTCTCCAGCTCACAGTATTAACAAAAACCCTTTGGTATAGTTAATCCCTATCCTGACTATCAAATTATATTCGACAAAAACATGCAACAAGCCTAAATATGGTCATGATGACATCACACCCTGACCATATATAGGCACATCATGACTATATATGGGCTTACAACAGCTTTTTTGTCAAAGAAAATTTGATAATCTGGAGAGAGCCTTAAACATATGTAATATAAACGCCAAGACTCACAGCACTTCCGGCCAATAGGAAACTTGCTGTCATTTGATCTCCTTTGTTTTCGTCTTGAATCTCGCGTGTACCAAGTGCCATGCCGACAATCGCTGTCATGTGTGTCTCCGTACCATAGACGTGCATTGGTACACCCAAACTGCTTCCTACAAAAAATATTCAAATATTTTATAATTAGAAGGTATTCATACCAATATGCAGTTCTGTAGTAATATATATATTATATATAATAATGTGATTATATATAATTATATATAAGTCACTATAATACTACTATAATTAGCATTGTAGTTATATACAGGTCAGTGCAGGTCAGCCAACGTAAAGGGGAGACTAAATATGTTCACACCAGGCGTGAGACTCGCACCAGACTTGAAACATATCTGGCTTGAAAGTAGTGTAAACATGGCATTAAATACATTGAGCCCAATCAATTGAGTAACTTACCAAGTTCTCTCATTACCCTCAACCCCTCTTGGTAGTTTGGTCCACCTCTCCTAACAAATATAGATACTTGATATTCTTGCAGCTTTGCTTTGTATTGCTGGAGGGCACGCACAATTCCCTGACATGAGAGAAAAAAAAATTTGTGATTCTATGCTTTTTAAAGCTAAAAGAAAGAATTGTAGTATTGCAATTTTTCATATTTTGTTTGCAATTCTATTTCAATCCAACAGTGCAATGCGAAGAAAATGGAACTTAACTGTACAGATGAGTCTTTGGACAAGTACAACAACAAGATTTTTCATAAAATATACATATATGTCATATATAGATCTTCAATTTTCATAATAAAAAATACTTTATATTATATCAACAATAACAGCTGAAAGTGAATTAAGAAAACATAGTCAATCTTAAGCACTGTCCGAACTATCACATTTTATTTGACAAAAAAATATGATATGCCTAAATATAGTCATGATGACATTACATCATGACCATATATAGGCACATCATCACTACACATACAACAGTTTTTTGTCAAAGAAAATTTGACAGTTGGGAATGAACATCAGAACAAAATTTGAATTTGTGCAATGAGTGATATATCCCACAACATACGAATCAATACTGTACCTTTCTTAATATAATATTATTCATAATTATAAAATATTATTTTACTCTGAATATTCATCTTAGCTCTCACCTTGAATGTAGCTGCAACATTGGTAAAATTTGCAATACCGCCCCCAATGATCAAAACCTTTCCTTTAGGATGTTTCTCGCCCTTTGTCATTAGACTCAGTAAAGTCTTAGCGTACTCAAACGTTTGCTGTTCCGTTGGTGCTCCAGAGTATTCGCCGTAATTAGCCAGCTCTGATGCACCGCCAAGATCACATATGGTGTCGCTGTAGATGACCGAAGCTCCTCCTCCAGCCACCATTGTCCAGATTCGGCCCTTGGGGTTGAGGATTGTCAGCTTAAGAGATGCTCCGCTTTTGGCATCCAAATCTGCAATGTATGCTTCCTATACACAACAACATAAAATAATTTTTATTGTCCATTCAAAAGATTAACATGAAATTTATCTTCACTGACATTAAACACACAAAACTGAAAAAAACTAAATTAAAAATAAGCTAACCTTTATGGTTAATGTTTGTGTTTATATCCCAGACATTACTGCATGTCTTTTAAATGTAATTTCTGAATAAAAAAATAAACAAAACAAAAAACTGTACAAGGAGGGACATCAACAGGCCTCAACACTTGATTCACCAAGCTAACAATACAATTGACTTTAACAAAAAGGGAGATTTACTGTCATAAAGGCTGAGCTGACCACTCAAATCATCCAGCCAACTATCCATTAAATATAAAATTTAAACTAGGCCTACCAAAAACACAATGCAAGTAATATTTGCTAGAGGATATTGTGTATGAAGATTTCATGAATACAGTTCACCCTCCGATTCGAGAAAAAATTTGGGGTGGTGTCGGGGTTCGGTCTGCAATTACAGGGTTAGCTTTGTGTTAAAAGACTGAAGATTGTTAATTGATTTTTTAAAAGTGGTCACGAGTTAAAGGGGTCTCGGAATTAGAGGGGTTTGCATTTGAATTTAGAGGTTGCACTGTAGTAAATTTAGTAACAATTTTCAAGATTTTACTAGCATTTATCTTAAATTATAGTTGTGTAAATTATGTAAAACATGACAAAACCCATACTGTACATATATAATTTAATGACACTGAACTAATATTACTGCTGACATTTAGACTTACCTCAGGGAAAGCTTCTCTTCCAAATGGAGGTGGGAAATTAATTTCACCCCATTTGCTTTTACAAAGGTATTCTGCTGTGGCATCTAATTTAGCTGCCATGTCTAAGATGTAAATCTTGTCAGTAACAACTGCCATAATAAAACAGAGAAAAATATTACATTTCAGACTAGAAATATCAACATTTCCAATCACATACTATGGTTACTACATTTTAAAAAAAACACCAAGCTATTCAACTCCACTCCATTATATTATTTACTTTGTGTATATTAATTGCATTCATAAAAATTATATGGTAGTTTCAATGAAAATTCGAGCATACTTACCTAAAGGGTTGATTTCAAGGTAGGTAAAGTACAGTTCCTGAAATTGCTTGTACAACTGTGCTATAAACTTTGCAATCATTCTGGGGATAATTTTTTGAAAATGTTAGTATTTTATCATATAATTTCTAATAATATCAATTTTAGAATTAACTATATCTGGAAACATTTGATAATTCATTGATGTATTCTTCACAAATTCATATGTTAATCTGTAAACTCATAAAGCAAATCTTACTCTTGTTTTGAAGGTGTAACTTTTGCAAGTAGCTTTTCTTTGACCTGAGCAGCTGTGACCTTTGACCCTAATTCAATTTCCATCTTAACAGCCTGTGGAATATAACAAGTAATGTATTGTAATAGTTAAAACCTCTTTAAACATATATCTGCAAGTAAACTCATCAGGGCATTCAAGTGAACTGGGTTTTAGTGTCAAAAAATCCTGTGTTTCCTTTAAGGATTTTAACCTACAGCTCAATAATTTCAAAAAAATATATTACCTACTGTACACAAATTATATTTAGGAACCATCATGATTTATAGGTTATGGGTTAAAATCCTATTAACATTATTTTTTCTATAATAACATTCCTTACTTGGTTTCGTAATTATAGATCATCATAATTATCATTTGCTGGCTCCAAAACTCATGCTTACAATCCTTAGATATCTAGCATAGCTTGTATTAAGGAGAGTAACATAATTTTCTCATGAATATCTCTAAATTTGCTTTTATTTTGAGTAAATTCAATCTTACCTTAGCATCTACGTCTCCAATATCAACACCACCCTCGTGGTGGAAGAGAATGACATCACAGTTTCTTTGACAGTAGATACAAACGTACACTTCATCTTCATCCTTGTGAGCAACAAATGGCTCAATGATAAAGTTTTTCAGTAAACCAGTAGCTTCTCCAATCTACAAAGAACAAAAAAGAATCATTTGCACCACAAACATGTTTAAAGCAAAAACGTATACAAATACAAATGCTAGTAAAGTAGTTCTATCATGATACAAGTGAAACAAGTTCTATACATCAACTCCCTCTATGCAGCCTATCAGTTCTCTCACTAGGCAATGCATGCAGGAATAATAATGCATTACAACCTCTTTAGTGAGGTGTTCCAGGACTTTTTCTGTAGTTCTGTAGGAATGAATTTATGCTAAATAGGCAATAGGCATAATAGCATCTGTGTATTTTCGGCATCGAAATAGCAGTCAACATTCCCACAATGTACCACCGTGCCAAACTTGGCTGAAGCAGCGATACATCATGGCGGTATTGAGCGTGACAAAATCAGTGCTGGATCCCTAGGTTTTTTCACTCTTTGGCATTCCTTAGGGTTGAAACACATGGAATATGTGGCAAAGACAAGCCAAACCAGTCACTCGTCGCAAAAATCGTGTTATTAATACAGTGTTAGAGAGTAAAATAATAGCTATAAAATGGTAAAAAAATCATTCAAATCGGACATTTCATTATGAAGTTACAAGCGTTTAACCACACAGCTGTTTAAAGAACAATATATGAGAAAGCAGCCTTTAAAGTTTATGATTTAAGGCATTTCCCATGCAGAAACTATCTTTAAATCTTTAAATTGTGTTGTTTTAACATTGAAAATGGGGAAAATAACAGCATAGGATGGTGTGTAGATATATAAAGGATAGTTTAGTGCAATAAAATAGATTTTTTTAAATTTGACATTTTAGCATGTTTTGGCCATTTTAGTATTAGTATTTAGATACGCTATTCATAGAAAACTATATCATAGCATTTACAGAGTTGAATAATGATTTGAAGCAATAAGCTCAAGTTAATTTTGAAAAAAGATTTTTTCATCTTCTCTGAAACACGTGTTTCATTTTCTCTGAAACACGATTTGCGACGAGTGACTGGGTTGGCTTGTCTTTGCCACATATACTCTTGGTATTCTTACAGCCATTTTTTCTAAGAAAGATGGCTAGGATTTAGCATAACGAAAAATAATTGTATCCAATGCTACTCCTTAATATTTCCTCAAACAACATCTTCAGTGTCTTAATTCATTTGTAAAACACCCTCTTCCACATCACCCTCCACTCAGTACAACATATCAAAACATTTTTTTTTTTCCTCCAGTCCGGCTTTAAAATACTAATAATACATAATGCGATACTCATACTATAAATCTATTCAAGACTATAACAATTATGATTAATAAAATGATCATACAGTAGCTACTCATAATAGATTATATATTTTTATTTATATAATTGTATATTTAATCATTTTCACATAAGAGTTTCATTTAAATTTTAACTGACTTTATATTATTCAGACAAAATTAACACTATGGATCACAAAAGCAACAAAGTCACCTTGGAACACTTTGGGTCATTGTGAAGTTTAAGTTACGGAAGAGTGAGTATACATAATTGGCTAAATCAAGTATAAATCATACAATTTATAAACAGGGATTAATATCTTTCTTACAAATAAGGATACGGAGCAGCGAGGACATTTTAAATTGTTTCTTTTCTTTTCAAGTGGAGATGGATTACTACAAGTGTTATTCAATTTATTTTACTTGCTTTTTTCAAATTTTTTAAAACTATTTTAATACATTCTAGTACAGTTAAACACAATTTTAAATTGTTTCCTGTCTTTTCAAGTGGGAATGGATCAAATTACAAGTGTTATTTAATATATTTTACTTTCATATTTCTAAGCCCATTTTAATAAAGATAAACAAGGCACTGTATTGCTTTGTATAGTCCATGAAATTGTCATAAAAGTGGAAAATTATTGTTTTAGTTGTCTCAGAGTAGCCAATTCTATGTGATTCACTCAAATTATTCATTGAATTAAAAAAAAAACTTTCTATTGAAACATCTATAAAAGTTTAATAAATATAACATTATATAGACCATTTTATCAGGTTGATTTTGAAGCAGCGCTACCAACGTCTCCCAACTCACAGGGGACTTCCAGTGGCCTAGCCTAGCCTGAGCAAGCTTGCGAGCAGATAGCTTGTGTCAAATAGAGCACCATGCGCACACTGGTAACTACGTAGCGCGACGTGCGTAGGCCTCTGGAAGTCCCTCAGTGGTAGTTGCCAGGTTATCGGAAATTTTTATTTTAAATTCCACGAAAATGATCTATATAATATATAGTACACAAACATTTAAATGATTGTTATTCCTTTATTAGACCACTTTCAAATCCAGCAATATTAATACCCTATTCTGTCTAGCATCACTTTGGGATTGGTTGCAGCAATTGCAATTCACAATCGTGTGTGAAAGCTCACCAATAGTAGTCGATAAGTAATCGATATCACAATTGTCACTCGTTGCGATTGGATGCTACAATCTTGATTATTCCCGGTTACCACAGAATCCAATTGCAAGGAATCACATATAAAATTCCACAGGCACTGACTGGCTGAGGTCAGTCAACATCGGTCTAGCCACCGGAAGTGCAGAACCATTTTACCTCCCGCAATGCACTGGTTGGTTGCGATCAAGAGTAATAAGTTTTAGATTACCTCTGATTACATCGCAACTGATCGCAACGGAGTGTAGTCTGAATAGGGTATTAGAGTTGGAATTTTTCAGAGTATTTGTTAACATTCTCCATGTCCAAAAAATGAAGTAAATTTGCATTACCTTGATTTCTTGATTGAGTCTTGATCCTAGCCACGTCTTGACACCAGCGAGGTCAACATTTACTTTGATGAGTCCTAGTTTTCCCCGACGCTTTATCAGTTGATCTGGCTTTACAACAAGTTTCTAAGAAAATAAAATGGATACAAGATCTCATTTAAAATTTTGTATAATAAATAACCCCTTGGTATTATAACAAATATTATTTTGCGAGAAACGTTTTTTCACTCCTAAGGATTCAAACCAAAAATTAGCTGTTTTTTTTGTCATTTTTTTTTTTGGTTGCTCTATAATTTAGCTTTAAGTTTCGTACATGCCCTCTAATTTCATTTGAATTAAATGTTAATTTCACAATAATAATGAAGGTTATATAACTCTATTAGCATGTTTTTATAGACAGACCCCTGTGCTTTTCACATAAGTTATGCATACTACCTGCACAATTTAATTTTACATCAAGTTTCAAAGGAAATACAAAGAATGCAACATAAACTTCTTCAATTTAACAAAACAATAGATACAGAATTAGTTTCCTGTAGCTCATGGAATATATTAACATATCAAATTTGCAATGAGACAAAGTCAACCCATAGTAATACAATTACAGAAAACACTTTTACCACTCCAATAAGAATATCTTAAATTTGTAATATTTCTTCTTATACCTATGACAGTCCCTAATACTAGAATGAGCACACACAACAATACAGTATACCAAACTTACATTTAAAAAAATAACTTATTGAGAGATATTTGGGTGTCAATGGGTAACAAACAAATAAACAAAAAACAAATATTTATGGTAGCTTAAATTTCCATTTACTTCACAGGCTCAGCAAATGCACTAACTGCTAAATGGCCAAAAATATATTTATTTTTATTTGAAAAGTGGTGGGCAGATCATATTTATAAAATCTTACCTCACTATGAACAAAGAAATATCTTACCTCAGTTAAGAGCCATGGATTTTCAGCTGTGATCTTGTCCCAATCACTGTCTGCAGTAATGGTGACATACCTATTCTTTGCTATATCACTGGAGTCTATGTTGCTTGTGACAAGCTCCTTTCCTGTAGCCTCATAGATCGCTTTGGCCGACATTTCAATATATGGATAAGTGTTCACCTCTCAGAAAATGACTACGAGAAACCTAAAAAATTAATTTGAAATATTTTTCAAAACTATTGAATTTGAAGAAATATATTCCAGAAAGCAATTAAATAAACTTATCGAAGTTGCAAATTCAATCAAGAATATCAGAGTCAGACATGAAAAAACATTTACAATCTTGGACTGCAGGACAGCAGGCATTTTGTCGTTATGATATTTATCTCCATCATAGAGGATGCATTTACTACTGTCCGATTGTCTGTCAGATTACGTAAAAATTTAGTGAAATTGTAGGCCTACATAATAATCAAGACACCATTCAATTTTCAGAAGAAAAGGTCAAATTTAAGGTCAGGGTCACAGAAATTTGATTATCTTACATTCAACCATAAAAAAAATAATGGAACCAGCCAAAGTTAAAATCGTTTTTCGCTTACAATGGAATGCATCAATATCAATTTTTTTTTTGCAGTTCAATTCCCATTATACAGCACAATAATACAATGTAATAAATTGCAGTTGCTCATTTCATTTATCATTACATTTTGCCTGCAAACAATTCAGTGCAGATGGCAATGGCAGCACTCGAGAAAACAATGCGATTCCATTATTTTCTTGAGGGTATTCTGCAGGATTCAAGAAAATATTATGCCTGAATACGACGATTCTATTAATTCATGGGGTATGCTGCAGTTTCGCTCATCATACTGTACCTGTACCTCTGCCGTGTACTGTATTCAGGCACAAGGCAGAGGTATGTACTCAAGTATGGAGTGACTGCTCTAGTTATTATGACTTTTCGGTCATAGCAGGAGCGTTTACGGCGCGGCCCATGTCAGGTATCCATCCAACCTGCAAATCCTTCTACCACACTACGTAAGCAAGATGATACACACTAGCTACGTAGTGACTCGATAAGAAGAGATTATGATTTTTATAGGATTTATATAGCGCAAATATATCCAAAAACTGCTCATGGTATTTTCAAAGGTCATTGGTAAATTGAGTGGTTATGAAAGAACTGTATTATGAGTAAAACATTTCAGTTGTCTGCTGTTGGCCTTTTGAATGTTCTGGATAGCTAAAGCTTGGAGGTCAGGAAAAACCCAAAAAATTCTGCACTGAAGTTTATGGTTTATGTTCCTCCTAAAGGAATTATTCAATGACAGCCATTTCCGTGTGCTATGTTTCCATGTGTTCCCCTGCAACAACTAGCCAATAGAAACATTCAAGGAAGCGTTTCCACATAAGAAGCCCTTACCCTTAACAAACCACTTTTACATGTATATTTAAGAATCATCATTAGATGTTGTGTATATATTCCTTCATCTACATTATCACATTCATTCCATCTAATTACTTCTAATTACTTATTTGCAGTTCAATTTCTTTGCAGTTCAATTACCATAATACAGCTCAATAATACAATGTAATAAATTATAGTTGTTAACTTCATTTATCAATACATTTGCCTGCAAGCAATTAAATTCAGTGCAGATGGCAGTGGTACTGCCAAACATGTCTGTTTCAGATAGTTTATAGTAGTGCAGCTAAGCCTTGTATTGCTCTCTTGTACATGATCAAAAATCTATATTTATTGACAGTAAAATGTGTTTTTTTTCCTTTTTGTTCAATTTATGTTCATTAGTGCATCAATAATAATGAAGATGTTGATAATGGTGGGCATGATATTCCTACTGGTTTTTTTTACTTGTTTACAATTATTTTGAATTATACAATATCAAGATTTAAATAGATTTTGAGGATTGCTATTTAATGATGATGAATGATGATGGTGTAATGGTAAATAACCCATAATAATGATGACAATGATTATGATGATGATTATGGTAATGATGATACAGTAAAGTGATGAATATGCAATCATTATGACCTGGTGATAGTAATGATGATGAAGTAGAGGAAGAGGAGGATGACAAGGATGGTGAAGATGGTGGATAATCATTATTCCATGACTGCGATGCGATGATGAAGATGATTAAGTGATGATGGTGACAATGATGATGGTGATACACTAAAATGCAGAAAGTTGACAATGATAATAAATGATGATGATATGAATCATGAATGATGCCTGTGATGATAATGAATGATGATTATGAGTGATGATGTAACATGATTATGATGGTTATGATGGGTAATGATGAATATTACAGTATGTTAATGATGGTAATGATAATATTAATAGTGATGATGTTATGACAATAGCAATTTAATGATAATGGTACATGGTGATAAGATACAGTAAGAACAATTTGTACTACTAATAATTTGCACACTAAATATGATTCATAAAATTAGAATATATCAAATGCTGGCAGTTGTTTGAATCTAGAATCATACTGTAGGTCTACTATTGTGTTTGTTAAAAATAAAAGCCATCAGTTGTCTTTTGAAATTCCTGAACTTATACCCATAAGGACTGAACTGCAAACTCTCAACCAGCAACATTAATTAAGCCATCAGTATTGAGACCAATAAAACAAGAAAGAAATAAATTTTCCCATACTGGCTGTAGCGTAATTATACTAAATATTGCCGTTCAACATTCTTTCAGTATTACTCATTTTGGAAGCAAATAGAAACAATCTAACTAATTATCTAAATCAAATATCTTTACAGTACCAAAATTTAAGGCGCCAAATATTACAAGTTCTATATTGTACAGGTAGACGAGACTTTTTTTATGCCTTGTTTAGTGAACCTACCGCCCGCCAATAATGATGATTTCAAATAAACACAAAATTTTATTTTTGGACAATTAGCATATCCGCCGCCATGAAAAAATGGAAATTTTAGAAATTTTTCTTTATTTTTATTACACCTGCCACCTTGAAATCTCCAAATATAAAATATGTATATATTTCTTCCTAAATTATATAAATTTAAAGAATAACCATCCCGTTATTACACTGTTTACTTTCACCAATAACATTATATTTTATTTTATCCTGTCTGGATGTTTTTGGCAAAACCATTTGCTAAATAAGAAAACTAAATTTTATTTTTATTTTTGTCTGCCCTCCTCTGACGACCTATGAAAAAATAAGTTCACAAAACAAGGTATTAAAAAATTCTCACCTTACCATTGAAAAGCCACATAACATGAAACACTAAAAAAAAATGTTGTTTTTATAACTTTTAAAAAGCTACAATAGGAAAATGTGAGAATTATTTGAAAGATAGTCAAATCAATATTCTTACATTTAGAATCTAAATTCCATCATAAATTAGGAAGCCAATAACTTGTGAATATAGAAAATTATTGATTGTCAGTGGGATTTAAAAAAAATGCTGGTATGGTTTTTAGATTTATGACTTTTGATGCAACAGATCATATTGAATGAGATACTAGTAGAGTACTATATAGTATAAATATAAAAAAAAACCCAAAAATATGAAATATCACAGATATGTCTATACTGACAAACTGGTAGTGACAGATCGAAAGACAGTAGAAAAAGAGTGCCAGATCAGCTTTATCATTCACAATAGTTTGCAAAGAGGATCTTGATAAATTGAGAAAACCAAACAAATCTCAGCTCTTGTATGTACATTATAAGCTACGGTCATTCACTCTCTGAAGAAATGCAATTAGAAAATGTAAATTGGGTGAATTTGTTGAGAAAATAAATGTTACACAGCTTATACACACATGCACATTAACAATGAATGAGTACTGTACTGTATTATATTTTTTCAGTATATAATATACAGTACTGAAATTTGGTCACAATAATTATTTCAATTACACTCAAGTCAAGCAAAACTTTACTCCAATTCCAATTCAAACATCAAATAATATAGTAAAAACAAGAACATGGTAAAAATGGTCCTTGTCATCGTAAATAAACGTTTATGCTTGTGTCTTCATTGTCTACAGGTATTTTAACACTATATGCATTGTATAATTTAAAACCCTGTTTCTCAAAGTGTTTCATACACACCACGTACAGAGAGGGACTGAATTGAGAAGACAAAATGCTAACATAGTAATACTTGGGATACTGTACATGCAAATATGCAATTCAATTTGCTTTGGAAGTGTTCAATTGCTTGATTGAATGACAGGCCGGTATTTAAATAAATGTATAGTACACAGAGGCCTTGAAATGATGTTTACACTGATGAACTACCACAGTTCTAAAATATATGCTCAATTAAAACACGAATTTGTTCATTTAAGCAATAAGTTAATATCATTTCCAATTAAATACTAACTGATTTTTTTTTTTTTTTTTTTTTTGGTGATTTGTTAGACTTTAAACTTATGGAAATGTACCATAATTCAATAGAAAAATTAGTAAGGAATATTGTGTTGTCGGAATTTTTATAATATAATGTACTACTTTAGATCTGATAAATCTGAATAGATAATATTTTATCATTCATTACTTAAAAATCCTTACATTTTAAATCTACAGGGGTTACTGTAAACAAGAATTAAGATAATTATGCAGTTAAGTTCAAAGTATGCTAGGGTCAGAGAGGTTACGTTTTATGTTTTACAACAGATTTATGGGAAATAAATGGCAACATAATAAATCAGCTATGTACAGAGTGACACTGTGGAGGATAGCAATAGCCATGAGAACACGTCTTATTATCTTATTACCTCTCGTTGGTAATTATGGATGTGTCTAAATGGATTTGTGGACAACAAACCTGAGGGGTTGAAGTTATCCAATAATGGCGCCATGCAGAAAAAGCATACATGATGCATACCTTTATTCCTAAGAAGTGGACAGATGGAGAAATACAGATTGATAGTGCTAGAGTCAAAGGGGGGGGGGGGGGTAACTACAGAGCTAAGGGTTGAGGAGCAGAGGTCCCCTAGATAGTTTCCACAGAGCTACATTGCAGTTTGTGATAGGATATGTGGTCTTTATTTTTATTTTTTCATAACAATTCGGGCAAACAACAAACAATACAAATTGATATCAAAAATATATAAAATGAAAATAATAATAGCAATTTTTTTTTAAATCGATAATAATATATTATAATTTATTATTCCAAAATAATAATGGAAGCCATAGATTTTTTTTAATATAAGGGAGAGAAAAATGATTTGCAAACAGTGATGCATACCATTTAGCATTGTGCACATACACTCTTATAGAGATTATGCACTATACTATACTGTACATGAAGATAATGATTATCTAAGACAACCCAGGAGAGACAAACTAGCCAAAGGTAATATATGGAATGTCTTCCCAAAAATGGTTCCTACAGCTCCAATCAATCTCCTCACCCATCCATCACACCACACACATCCATACCATGACACCTTACAGTAGGCTAATTTGCAGACTATTTATGTATTAATTAAATGCTACCACAAACCTTTTGAACAGCAAGTCTGTTGCTGCTGTAAACAACATGGATTAAATTAATATTCACTATGCAAAACACTGCACCTGTTTATAAGAAAACGATTTCATTGTGATACTGCTCTTGCCATAGTATGTGAATAAAATATTTTTTTTTTTATAAATTCCAGACTTGTGAAGAATTTTTTAGATGATAATCCTGATGTTCTGGCAATGAGAAACAAGAACATCAAGATTTAGTACCATGCTTTTAAGATGTGCACAACACCTTGCATATCACATAGTACTCAACCTCACTGATTTTATTGAACACATCTTGATTGGCTGCATTTTCAATTGCTGTTTTGTTTTATTAGTCTTTGGCATTCTCCATGTGTGCACAGCCACCACATTTTAAAATAAGGCTTGCACAGGGAATATCTCCACGCCAAATTTTGGAAAATAAGGGCTGATTTCCGAGCAGATTTTGCCGAAAATGAGGCCTTGGCTTATATAACCACATAATACCGTAAAACCTCGAATAGAAGCCCTGGGCTTCTATTTTTTGTGAACTTTGGTTGGGCTTCTTTTCGAGACGGGTGTCTTTTCGAAACTACTTTTGCAAAGTAAAGGGGGGGGGGGCTTCTTTTCAAAATGAATGCTAAAATTTTTAGGAATTATTACAATATAAAACATTAAATAGGGCCACTAACATCAATCTGTATGGAGTGTATTAACAGGCATTAAATCACCTAAACTACTCTATAAACCAAGCATGTTTTTAATTTATATTGTTTCTTTGAAATTCCTGTATTGTACTATCTTTAATAGAAGCCCATGGGCTTCTTTTTGAGACAGGCTTCTTTTTGAGGTTTTACTGTATTATCCAGTAGTTACGATTCTGCGCATCTACTTTTCTAGCGATTTTTCCATGCAAATTTGAGCTAGTTTTTTATGTATCATCCGCGCAATTACAGTACATACTGTATGGCACAGCCCATGCTTTTATGTTGCACTCAAGTAAACGTCACCTTCTGTAACCATCGGCAACTGTTTTGAAGACCAGTAGCAGAGGTGCATAGCAACCCTCCTGCCCTACACAATCTTAAGCTTGCTGCAATTTCATCAAACTCTTCATCTCTACATACAATTCCTGTATTCATTTCTCCTCCATTCACATGTTTCAGAACAAATATTCATAAGCCTCTCCAGTCACGGTACACAAACTACTTAGGCTTACACCAGCTACTCAAGCCCCCTACCCCCACCCCGCTGGCACCACCACTGATAGGTATAAAAAATTAAAGCAAAAAATAACAATTTAGAATCCAATGCATTATGTTGCTCTGATAATAACTTCCTCTATGCTTTATACATCATAAATTCACAGTTAACTTTTCAAAGTCTGAGGGCTATACTTAGGGCTGGCTGCCTGCCTACCAACCTAGGGTAGTAGACCGTGGGTTGAGGATCGAAAACGTTCAATCCTGTGACCAAACAATCCGGGCTACCTGGCTTTTGCACAAAAATGTCAATATTATTAAATTGTAAAATAATTTAATGGTCGGCAATCGTGAATTTGGGGAAACTGTAACCAAAAATGAGAATTTATATCAAAAGTTGCTACGTAACTATAGCCAATCAGAAGACGACTAACAATGAAGTTTGGCTTAGCTGCAAGGCCCTCAGCCAATCACAAACTACTTTCTATGCCGTTTGTCCAATGTAAATAGTAAACAACACACTCCACTTCAAGTATGGCGTTGGACAGAAGTTCTTCAAATGAGCCGGTTTCAGGCATATGTTTTGTGATACATGTTGTAAGAACCTAGAGTATGGTTGTGTCATTAAGCGTAAACAGCTTAAAGAAATTTAAGGATCCGTGCAACTCTGTGGAAAACAACAAATACGAGTCCTCAGTAAGGCTTATTAAGTTTCCGTCAAAGCTGATGAATAGCCTACATATATAACGATCTCAGGGATGGTGGTGCAAGTAGTAGTGTCAAAATTGCACCGAATCTGTTTAAAGGTACGTGTGTGGTTACATATAACATTAAAAATGGTATGGTATGTTTTACTCAATTGAGAAGCACTAAGCGTCTCTTTATCACACCACACACACACAGACAGGAAGCCCTGCCTTTTCCTCAAACTGGGGTACTATCAACAGCAAAATAACCACAGAGTATTGTGAATCAAATATGATAATATTATATTGTAATAAGCATATTGAGACAATAATGTTGGCAATGAATCGACCCAGCATAAACAATGGACCATGAAGACAAATCAAGAATAGCCATCCACAATTATATAGTAACTATTTACTACTGTCTACCAAGAACAATTACTACACAAATTGAATCAATTCAGTTTTTTGGGGAGGGGGATGTGCCCTTCAGTGACTGTGCTTAGACTAAGTAATTCAGGCTTAATTTGATTTTAATGTCTTCATGAAAAGAATATAACAAAATTATTATATTAATAGTACAGTATGCTTTATCTACATAGGAATCCTAAGACACAACATAACAAAAAATATATTAATTAATAGGTATCAAAACTGACTAAAGCAAATAATATTTATCAACACTTTGATGTCCAATTAAACATCACCACCTGCATTTAATATTGTATTATACTGATACTACTTACTTTTCTTTTCTTTTCTTTTTTTTTTTTGGAAAACAACCTTTGATTAAAAAGAAACAATTTAAATACATATTTGAAAACCATCACAGTAGCATTGATAAGCTCTTTTAATTAGTTTGTTTAATTAATTTTCACAGACCACAGAATCATGTGAATGGAAGTTGATGAACCACAGCCAAAGCAAATGCTCATTCTGCATCACCTGAAAGCTGAAGTCAAAAATTAAAGAAGTGCTTCCTGGTCGAAGTCATGTTCTCCCATGTATTTTTTTTTGTAAAAAGACAATAATATGTTAAGTCGAATTTGTCCTATTTTTGACCTGAGCCCTCCTTCAAATCTTAGCTGGCAAATTATTAAATTTAAAATACTGAGTTAAAACAATCCAGAGAGGATAATTCAAGATTGTTGCGTTGTAGCAATAAAAACCACGATGAAATCTATTTCACAGCGTGGTCAAAATATATTTATTTTACTCCCCATCCCAAAGACCTACCAGGCCTATTTCTACCGGCCCGGTGATGCCGTGTACGAAGAGGGGAATTCCCACGGTGCCTGGAACCTAGTCAGTTTGGATTTCATGTACCGCAACTTGAAACAAAATAGGCCAGGCCTAGGCCAAGTATCCGTAGCCTGCGTAGGCCTAGATAGTTAGGCATACACCTGAGCCTCAAATGTACACTAAATTAATTGACATACCAAATATACATATAAACAGTAACTGTAATAATTGCAGAGTCTTACCCGAAATATAACGCACCAATCCAACACACTCAGCTGATGTTACACTCATACGATGATTGTATCGTACGTTGTCCTCTGCTTGTCATGCATGACTTCACCGATGTGCGGCGATAAACCGCACGAAACCGCGACACAAACTTCAAGGTAGACCAATTAAAGCTTGTAACTGGGATTCTTATCATTGGTTCGTGAAAAATAATTTAGTACAGACAGCAGGTACTGTATTTTTTAATAGCATACTTTGTATATTAAAGCAATTTAAACTGTTTTACATAGGCGTATTAAGTTGCACTAAATGGCACTCAACGGACTTCGAAAAATAATTTTCTGTTTCTCCACCCCCCCCCCCCCCCCCCCCCCCCCCCCCCCCCCCCCTGGTTGTCCTATGTCAGAAACACATTTATGTATCAATAAAGCTCTTTTGGGTCAGGGTGTTATAGACCTTATGAATAGGGCCTCTTCGGGGCCCTTATGGGTCCATCCTTGCGGACCGCCGCACGAGAGCGAATATGCCTACTAGCCGTTTCGGTACGGTACCATACGTCATTTATATATTGGGTTATTTGGATTGAACATTAATTAACCAAATTAACCTTCTTCAGCAATGTGTCTTTCCTTTTTCTTGAAACTCGCTTCCCACTCATTTTGATACATTGTCCAGCTATACCAGACATAACACCACTCGGTCATCCAACCAACTCAATTAATTCCATCCCTTACAAAACAATGTTCTCATTGGTCTTAAACTCTGGAATAATTTACCCGATTTAATTAAAAATATTCCCGATCAAAGAAAAGTTTCCCTCTAAGCACAAGAAACACTTATCTGTCAAAATACGTTTAATTAACTGCATTAAACCGTGCCTGTCATTCTTGGACTTCACGTTTTCTGCCACCATTTTTTGGTGCGTTCTATCTTTCTTCTTGTCTTTGAATTCCTTTGTCCTGTATTATCCCGTCATGTAGTATTATTTAATATTTTTAAGACACTGGGTTTCGGGGATCTTGCTCCTCCATTAATTTAGTTTGCTATTTTCATTATTGCTTTGAGAAAGAAGAGAAATAATCATTTATTATTTGAATCCTTTTGATCAGGTAATGATCAACAAGTCTGTGGTATCGAATAGGCCTAAGTTTGTACTCATCCCGTATAACGGGGATGTTTAAGCAGTTTTTTATACTTCCCGGCTCACTTTCAGCTGAATTTGTTCACATGCGCAGGCTACTAGAAAAGTATATTTATACACAGTATTTTTATTTACTTGATTATTTATCTAATAGGCCTAATTGTTATATTTGTAAGTGAACAGAATATTACTGTATAATTTATAATATTTATCAATTACCATGCACCGTTCTACATTTATATGATATGAATAGTTACCGGTATTTATTTTAGTAAACATTTCCTAAATTTCACGTTTGAAAATGTATATAAGCATAATAGTCTGAATATTTTGTTTGGTGCGGCAATCAAATGCGAACGTGTCGAAAACATGGTAGAAAAACAAACATTTATCGGACCACCGTGATCAATAGAATGGCATAAGAATATGACATTGACTTTGATCAATTCAGTTTTGATATTATCATTATGTTGATATTCTTGCCTGCAACTGTAAGATAACTGAATAAAATAGAGTACGAAAATGTCAATTGCTCTTGATGTCTTTGCCGTTCCTGTCTTGTGGTACCTCTGCATGTTCGTTAATATGACAAGTCCGGGGTATTTTGTTTCCTTTTATTCAATTCAATTTTGAATGATGAATAAAAACAGTGATTATAAATAATTAAGGCTCGATCGCTCTTCGTAAAAGACATGGTTCAATTCGCTACATGACTTTTTTTTAATCGCTAGTTATAATAAAAAGGAAATTTCGACTGCAAAGAATGTAAGTGGTAGGTGATCTAAGAAACTTTTCGTTAAGTTTACAAAAGTATCAGAGTTGAATTCACCGTTTTTGGTATGATTCTGATCGTCTTTGAACTGAGCAAGTTTTTTGTGTCATTTTCTCCTTCGTTACGTTACTCTGGAAGCCTACCACAATTTATGGTAGACTCGAAAACTATATTTAAATTTAAACAAAATTTAATAGGCTTTTTCCACGAATCGGTAGACATCTTGAAGTGATGACAAACATTGCGAATCAGCGGTGAGTAACCAACAGAAATAATATAAGATTTTGGGCCGATTTTCTGACATCATGTTATTTAAAAAATCATAACTCCATAACGGGGCGTCGTATCAGCCCAACAGCTTATCTTATTTCTGTTGGTTACGCGCCGCTGATTCGCAATGTTTGTCATTACTTCAAGATTCTTCGTGGATAAAGGCCTATTGATACTGGTATTTAAAGGTAAACTCTTTACTGTCTTGCTTGCATCTTACTTCTTTCATTTTTTGGATGTGTCTTTAGATTATGTTTAGTTATAATTGGGAAGTGTAATTATTAGCCACTGACGACGTCATGCTCTCTGGCCTCCCAGGTTTACCGAATTTTCATTAAAAAAAATAACTGATTTTACCTGAATGTTTCTGCATTGGCTTGATAGTTATTACGATTGGGGGCCTGTTTTTATTCACTGAATCATCACGTGACCATAGTTTTGTTGCAGGATGCAATGAAAGAGGTGACCACAAAGAACTAGGCTCAACACCCTAGAGTATTAAATTATTAGTTTATCACCCGCTCCCTCATCACTTTTGGGGAAAATAAGATTTTTTTTTTTTCAATCAACATATATTTTTATTTCAAACAGTCCTTTTTCCATCTTTTTTCACTTGAAAAGCTCAGGGTTTCTTGCAAATATGCGTACTGGTACAACAAAAACATAATTTTTAAATATAAATTTGATTCCATTCTTATGACTTTTTATATGTGTCCCTAACCATTGATTTACTTGTGATCATCGGTAAAATTGGGGCGGGATTAGCAAA